AGATGTAAGAATGAGTTAATAAGAAGCCTGAGCTAATAGGTCAACCAGTTTATGATTAATGTAGATTTCTGTGTGTTTCTTTGGAACTGAACGTCTGTGGGACCAGGTGAGACAGAAACCTCCATCAACACACAACCCTTTGAAGGTCAGATGGCCCTTTCACAGGGGTCAAATATCAGATATCCTGCATATCGGATATTTACATTACAATTAATAACAGTAGCAAAATTACAGCTATGAAGTAGCCACAAAATAATTTTATGATTGGGGGTCACCATAACTTAAGGAACTGTTGAGGGGTCTCAGTATAGGAAGGCTGAGAACCACTGATATAGACAGATAAATGTCATTCTGCCCTAAACTTTAACAACATCCCCATCAGGACCTCAGCAAGAATTTTGTATAGCAACATCATAGTCGGCAATTTATTCTGAAAAGCCCAGTCCATGGAATGACTAAGAAATTCTGAAAACACCGACTACAGAGAGGAATCACTGTAACCAGGATTACATTTTAATGCATAGCAATTACCAAACTGGTGTGACATGTGGAGGAAGGACAGACAGGACACACAGGCCAAGGGGACAGAAAAGACAACTTAGACATTAACTTGTTAAGTACTTTAAATTGATAACTCATAGAGATTTAAAAACCAATTAAGGAGGTGGAAAATGGGCTGGGGCGTTTTCTGGTGATAGACCACTGGGCTAACATGTATGAATCATGGTGGAATGTGCCTGTAATCCCAACACTCAGGGAGGTGGAAGCAGATGCTTATGGTTATCTCTGGCTACACTGTGAGTTCAAAGTCAGCCTAGGCTATAATGAGATCTCAAAAAGTGGGGGGGTGGTATAGAAATTATAATAGCCACATACACCAAGGTTTCTCATGGTGTTATACAATGCTTGATTTTCTGTGGCCACCTGCTTCCCTGGGTGGAAAAAAGAGTCCTTTATCAATTACTCCCAGGAAACGGGCTGCACTCTGAACAGAGAAATCAGGCACCATACGTGGGAGACCACAGAGAGAGAAAGTCTGAGGTTCAGCTCATCAGGCAGAAGGAAGGAGGCAGCTGCTGCTTCCGCATCCAAATGACTGCACACATGTCAGGACTCCTGGGCCACCTCTTTTGTTCTGGGGGGCACAGGCGCATACCAGAAAGACTGGATGGGGACTGGAGAGGCATCCAATTAGTGTGCATACCATGGTCACAGGAAGGATAGGGACATCCCGGCTTCACGGCTAACAAGGACAGATCACACTATCCCTGCGGTGTGATCAGGCTAATTTAAAAGAACCAAAAATCACTGAGATAGCTGAGGGTAAACAAAGGAAACCATGCTATTATTTACTCCGAGGGGGTTGCCCTTTACCCTTTTATAGGCTTATGTGATGCTCTTATTTACTCTCTGTGTGTGTGTGTGTGTGTGTGTGTGTGTGTGTGTGTGTGTGTGTGGTCCTTTAACCTCTTATAGGCTTGATGTGATGCTCTTATCTACTGTGTGTGTGTGGGGGGGGGGGTCCTTTAACCTCTCATAGGCTTATGTGATACTCTTATTTACTGTGTGTGGGGGGGTCCTTTATTCTCTCATAGGCTTGATGTGATGCTCTTATTTATTGTGTGTGGAGGGGGGGGCGTCCTTTAACCTCTTAGGCTTGATGTGACCACAAAGGACATGCTCATGCTTCTTACAAAGCTGTATATATATATGGTTGGCTCCACACCTCTTGGCTGTGACATCCATTTTAGCTTAGGCTCCTGGAAACTATGTTCTATAGAGAGGTGGTGTCTACGCACTCAGAGATTTACCTTGCTGTGTCACATTTGTGACGTCCTGGGTTCTAACTCCCACCGTTAGAAAGATAATGAATAAATTAGTTAATTAATTCTACAGTCTATTCTGCCCAATTATAGACAAGAAACAATTCTTGTCTTAGAAATCCCTCTACGTGCCGGTACTTCACATCCTTTCCCTATCCTTCAATTAGCAGCATCATTCTAAAGGCCAAATATAATGATTTGCTAATGGTTAAGAACTGGAATCTGATGCCCATACTGCATACATAGTTGCGTGATTCTGGAACTACACACTTAACTCGCAAGGATTCTTGTTTTCCTGCCTATAAGAAGGGGACAGCAGTGTCTTGTGCTCAGAGTGGCCAGAGGTAATTAAGTGAGTGTATACAAGGGGCTGAGGTCATAGTCCTCAACCTGTCAAATGACCCTTTCACAGGGGCCGCATATCAGACATCCTGCATATCAGTTACACGACACTTCATAATAGTAGCAAAACTACAGTTAGTAAAAAGCAACGAAATTATAGTCTGGGGTCACCACAACATGAACTGTATCAAAGGGTCACAGCATTAAGGTTGAGAACTGTTGGGCTGGGCGCTGTTCCTTGCACATGGCAAGCACTGAATACAGACAGCAGCCATGACAGTCTTCATTGTCACCATGTGTCAAACAGTGCTAGGTTGGCAGAAAAACATTAAACAGCACATTTCAAGATTGGGACTCCATGAAATGAGCCAAACATATGCCTCACCCTTCGCCTGCATTTCTAGTTTCTGTGACAATTCCAAGGACAAATGGATTCATTCACTGCACTCTACAGTGATTTTTTTTGATTTATTAAAACAATTATCACCCGACTGCATTCAAATTTCTCAGACATGCAGACAGGAGTGCTTGTTCATAAGGTTGAATCTCAGTGGTGCAGAGCAGGGCAGAGCACCCTGTGCCTCCAAGAGACACATGGTCAGTGAGGCTCAAGCAGAGCCTTGCATAGGAAAAGCCTCCCTCACAGATATCCACAACATGGGCTTCCTCATGTGAACATAAAGTGTTATATTTGGACACATATGTGTACATATATATGCACACAAATATCTATTAATATGAAAGATGTGTCTATATCATTAAGCAAGTGCCTGTGTGAGTGGAGTGGGAGGCAGAGAGATAGGGGGACTTGCAGTTTTCACCCAACGTATGTGTTGCTTGCATCTTTCATATGAGACTTGATTTGCATTTTACTTCACATTTTAAAAGGAAAAAATGAGAAACTGGTGTCTTTTCATTTAAGACAGGATAATCATCATCCTATGTATCAAATTTCATTTAAAAAGCATTCTCAGTTAGACTTCTCATTTGAAAACACAGGAAAGGTGTGACAGAAACTCCAAGCAGACTGGAAGGATGTGGTCATTATCAACAAAGCTTCATTTAAACAGAGCCCATGCCGTCCTAGTTGGATGCACACGAAGTCTGGAGTTAAGCAACATGGGGAGGCATTTGGGGACAAACTGAAAAGCAATGTTTCTTTGCCTCTTACCATGATTTTAATTGAAACAGCATGTTTGTTTTAAATCTATAAATGGTTTTTTAAACTGCTATGAGGGTTCTTAGGAAAGAAACCTCAGGGGGAAGTGTTTCTGTGCTCTCTGCTGGCTTCTCTGCCCAGGCTGTCCCCAGAGTGCCACCCACCACGACTTCTCCAGGTGCGGCCCACCCGTGTGTTCTTTAAGGTCACTACTAAAGGTGTGCTCATGTTCATAAAAAAATAAACCCAGGGGATAGAGAGGCGGCTCTGTGGTTAAGAGCACTTGCTGCTCTTGCAGAGGGACTTGGCTCAGGTCCCAGTACCTACCCAGCACCTCGCAACTGTCTGTAACGCCAGGTCCAGGGAATCTGATGCTCTCTTCTGGGCTCTAAGAGCGCTTACATTCACGTGGTTCACATATATACCCTCAGGCACATATGCATACACATAAAGTTAATAAATATTTAAAAATGAACCCAAGACCCATAAAATTTACCAATATTTAAGAAAAACCTCTAAAATTTAGAGAAGTGAGAAAATTGTTCATAAACTTAAAGTTGGAAGGTTTTTCTGGGCAAACCACGTGATCTGGAAGTCAGCAGGGGATGCAGATGGACAAGAATTGGATATAACGTAAATATCCCTCCAAAAATAACACCATGGCAATTGTCAACATGTCAATAACAAACCTCAAGAAAAAAGGAACAATTACAATATATATAACAAAGTCTAGGCTTCTTGACATAGTAAATATTTATTAATCATAAAAATGACAGTATAACAGAGACCCAGCTAGAATTATCTCAGTTATCTGAGAGAAGGAAACCTCGATTGAGAAATTGTTTCCATATAGGTAAGCCTATAGTGCATTTTCTTAATTGGTGATTGATGCTGGAGGGACCAGACCATTGTGGGTGGTGCCACCCCTGACTGGTGGTCCTCGGTCTGTAAGAAAGCAGGAGAAGCAAGCCATGAGGAACAAGCCAGTAAGCAGTACCCCTCTGTGACCTCTGCATTAGCTCCTACTTCCAGGTTCTTGATTTGTTTGAATTCCTGCTTTGGCTTCTCTCAATGGACTGAGATTCAGGATATATACACCAAATAAACTCGTTTTTCCCTGAGTTTCTTTAAGTCATGGTGTTTCATCACAGCAATAGCAATTCTAACTAAGATGCATATTCATACACACATGTACACACATGCACGCATGCACATATGCACAGGCATAGTCAACAGACATACTCATACACACACAGAGGCACACAATATACACTCATACACACGAGAGAGAGAGAGAGAGAGAGAGAAAGCTAACTGTAATAATGTAATAAGGCTGTGTCTGTAATCCTACCACTTGGGAGGCAGATGTGGGAACATTTTCAAGACTTTGAGGCTATCCCAGTCTACATAATGAATTCCAGGCCAGCCATACATAGCTACATTGGTGAGATCCTGCGTCAAAGAAGTGGGGGGGGGAGATAATTTACAAGAGTATGTTTTAATCAAGAGAATCCATAGACGTGAACCAATGTGACTGAAATTCATTAAGCAACTAAGAAGCTAATGAATTAATACATCTTTGAGACTTGAAGAACACAGTACAATTAGCCCTTAAATGTCTTCCTGTAACATCCGTGCCTCTGCCCTTTGCAGAGAGTTTGCCTTGCTCTACTCACCAACTGGCAGCCTTCTAGGGAGCTGACGAGCTGGGCGTTCTGGCAGGAGAGGATGGAGCCGGCCAGGTTGAGCATCACACACACTGCGGAGAGCAGCATGAAGAAGGTAATCTGGAAGCGAACCAAACGCAAATTGATTACCCACTTGGCAAGGCTTGGAGGGAAAAATGACTTGGTTTTCCAAACACTTTGGCTTGACGAAGTAATTACATGAACAATATTTATATGTTTTAAAGGAAAACGTGATTGTTTCTCAAGATGGCAGCTTCGTATTACCCTAAATAGCAAAAGTGAAAACTCCGAAAAGCCGTAGCAAGTTACCATGGATTTCTTTGGAACTTAGCGATTTAAATTTTAGAAGCTAAACCCGAAAATACTACGCATTCCAGACGCTCAATAGGAACATGCCAGAACTTATTAAACAAAATTGAGGAAAGGAGTATATTGATTAGAAGGATGTTAAATTGATTTTGTTTAGTTTTCAGAGTAGAAAATTTTGTACGTGTGCAAAAGAGAAGCGGATAAAGAGGCCCTGGGTACTCATCACCCACCCTCAATAATCAGCCAACTCAGGGCCAGCCGTTCTTCACTGCTCTCCATGGAGAATATTCTGCCACAAATGGAATGCATATACCCACACCTTAAGTGTTTCAGTGTGTAGTTCTAAAGAATTGTGAGCCGTTTTTAAAATGTTACTGAAGTACTGTTGTCATGATTATTAAAATTGAACAGTCAATAGTATCAAATTCTAGAATGTTCATCTCGCCTCACTTGTCTATTTTCCAAGCTTTGAATCAGATCACCCAGGATATAGTCAAGGTCCCTAAGATGTGACAGCTATGAAATCTTCCCTCCTTCCCTCTTTCCTCCTCTCTCCTCCCCTCCCCCTCCCGTCTTCCCTTCCCTCCTCTCCCCTCTTCTCTCCTCCAGATAAGGTCTCCCTACATATCCCATTCCAGCCTCAAACTCACAGTCCTCCTCCCCCTGCCTCCCAAATGCTGGGAAAATTCTAAATCCACGGGTCTCCACGTTAAAACGTCCCGAGGAAACGAACTCATTAGCCCACAGAGCGAATAACCAGGTCGAGTTTTATAAAACACCTCTTTGGGATCAAGAGTAATCTAAGCTAATATGATCCAAATCAGGCAGAGTACCAGGAAAACTTGTAAAGACTTTGAAACAGGTGAGAAATACCAGCTACCAACGGTTCCTAGTGCGCCCTTCAGGGCTACCTTGCCCTTCGTCATCATTAAGCCGATTTAAACCATTCCGAGCTACAGAAAAGGACATTATTGCAAATGACTCTTGGCAATGCAAATGTAAAGAAATTCTGTCTGACAAATGGAACTGTCACCCATGGCTACCAGGAACTTTCCCATCTACTTCTAATTATATTTCAGGATTACTGACAGCCCACATGTCTGCAGTGTTTGAGTTTCTACTAGAAATGCCTGGAAAATGTCCCAATTCCCTCTTGAAATAAGAAGTTTTTATCATCTTTGGCCCATGTTTATCGTGATGTTTAAAGCTGGTTCCTGAGTGTTCTGCAAGCAATGAGGTGCTTTGGTTTGATTTGGTGTGTGTGTGTGTGTGTGTGTGTAGTGTAGTGTTGTGTATCATTAGGAACCAAGGATCTAAACTCTGTGTGTGTGTGTGTGTGTGTGTGTGTGTGTGTGTGTGCACGTGTGTAGTATATCATTAGGAACCAAGGATCTAAACTCTGTGTGTGTGTGTGTGTGTGTGTGTGTGTGTGTGTGTGTGTGGTGTGTATCATTAGGTACCATGGATTTAAGCTCAACAAACACATTTCATCACTACACACTCAAGTTGATCCCTGGGCCCTTCGGGTCTACTTGGAAGGTTTATGAGCTTCAACGTCTTTCTTGCTCCCTGGTTCTTTGGGGGTTCCAGGACCACCTTACACACTTCCTGCCTCAGATATGGAACAGTGTGGGTGTCTTTCAATGAAAACAAGATTTAGAGGTCACAACTTTTGTGCCCAAGTTGTTCTTCTCTCTTTAGGTGATCATTATTTTCAACTTTCCAGTTGGCAGACTCTCCATGAGTTTATACTGACATTTCTGAATCACACTGGAAGATACATGGTTTTAACTTAACCCACCCATTCTTGGTCTGCAACTTCTTCCAACCATGCCAGAATCCTCTGTCTTCAACATAATTGTGATTAACTTCACAGCACCATAAACAGCCTCAAAATAGTCATGCCCTTCCAAACACAGAAACACACCATGGAGACCATTTAAAATGAAGATCTCTTTGTAGCCTTAGGATGCATTCTACCAGGAACAGTCGAAAGTATGGCCCTGTAAACCCACATGCTCTCTTCTGTGTAGTGTCTCACTGTTCAGCTATTGTTTCTAAGAATGCATTTCTGATTTCCATAGTAATTGACAGAGACGAGGGGACAGACACATCCCTGGGACACTGGGCAGGTGGCAAACACTGTTAAGATAACTTAAGTGTCAATCATCAGTTAGGTTTATATCCTAAGTGCTCGTTCTGATGTTCACTTCCTATAAATAATAAAGGAAGTGTAGACTGGTCAATCTGACACCACTCTGGAGGTGCTAGACTCTCCCTCGCTTCTCTGGCTTCCCTAACAAAAGGGCTGTCAGTCAAACAGTCAGCCACCCCACCCTTATGCTCACACTGACCATTCTGAACACTCCAGGGACACTCTGAAGATGCTACACAGAGACCATAGCGGCTTTCTCTATCTATCTCCTGAAGATACAACCCAGTCAGGACTGTTTCAAACAACTGACGCTCAACTTTTTGCTCTCATAAGTCTTGGTGAACTCTAGATGGCCTATTTTCCCCAGGCTGGAGGAGGAACACTTCTCCTGGTGGCCTAATAGGATTATTGTGACTGGTACGAAACAGACAACACTGTGACTGGTGGAAGGAGCAAACCGTATTCCTGTGACAAGCTTGCTGTGATTAGTGCACAGGTCTTTCCTCTGACTGTCCCGTCTGGCTATTTTGCTGATTGGTGAGTAGCTGGGGACATCTTTCTGCTGCCTCCCCTGCTGTTCCAACAGTAGGCCCCGTAAAGACTTCTCTTCTGGCCTACTTTAAGGGGAGTGTGCTGAGCCAGTAACACTGAGGAAGAAACAGTGAAGAAAGCAGCATCAGAAACAGTGATGGTGAGGGCAGAGGCAATGGACAGCACCAGCAGTCATAGCGGGCACCAGTGGGCAGCTGTTTGGGTTCTGGAGAAGGGGTGGAGCTGAGCAGGTTGCATATCACATTGCAGAAGGGCTCGGGCTCACTACCGACTTCACAGCCAAAGAAGAGGCGGGGCAGAGCGATTAGCAGGTTCCCCTGCAGAAGCACAAGAGTGCCTGGCTGCACTAACAGCTGCAGAAGATGCAGAGCTGCAGGACAGTGGCAGCAGCTAAGAGTCGTTGCAGACCTCTCCTGAGTGGCAGCAGCTATGCTGGCAGGCACAGCAACAAGACACAGCAAACAGGGAGCGGTCGTAGCAGGGACAAGAGGGGTGAGAGTGTGGAAGAGGGTGGGAAGAGGGTGGGAAGAGGGTTGGAAGCTGAAGTCGAAGGACAGAAGGCTGGAAAGGGAGAAGATGAAATACAGGCCCTGATGTCAGAAGAGCCCCAGAGAGCTGTGAAGACTTCCAAGAAGGATGTCAGATCCCCAGGTTCAGGAACTGTAATATGAGTCTCTATCAAGGGCTGAGAAATTCTACTACTTGTGGCCTGCCCAGAAGTTGGGCCAATGGTTGCTAGCAAGGGCAGAGAAATCCCATGTACCTGCAGCTACCCAAGTGCTAACACTTGTAGAGGTAAAGCCCCACTACCTGAGGCCTACACAAGATGTTAACACTAGAGGGCGCCACTTGCCGTTGCTGTTGCTGCTGGGTTGTCCTCAAAAACCTAAGGATTCAAGCACTGCCCAAGCCCAGCACAGAAAGGGCTCCCCTCGCCCCTGCCCCAGACTTTCTATCTGGATAGAGTTAGCCAGTGAATTGGCACTGGACGTTGATTCAAGCGTCTCAACTGTCAACAAAAATTTCCGCAGCACAGGAAGAAGCAACAAGGTATGGATAGTCACAGGAAAAGAAGCCACAGAAAGCCTCTCGCGATAGCTCAGACAGGGCAATTTAATTGAAATACTCTTAATGAATGATCTTCACTGTTCTGAAATTGCTGCAGGAAACCTTGGGTCCAGAACTAAAGGAAACCAGGAAAATGATAGATAAGGAGAACCGAATGTCAACACAGGGGGTACAGAAAGGAAAGAGACAGAAACTGCAGGTACAAAGTGGCATGGTTGAATGCAGACACAAGGACTCTGGCTTCTGCTGTTGTAAGACTTCTGCTGTTGTAAGAAGCAGGGCGTGCAATGCAGGGAAACAGAGGCCAACCTGCCGAGGAGGAAGAGAAGAGAGAGGAGTAAAGAGAAGCTAAGCAACTTACAGAAACTACCAACTAACAGCGGGGGCACCCAACCGATCACAGTTCTAGAGCAGCAGAGAAGGTCAGAACAAACCGGAAGGACGGACTCACGGCCAAAATCTCCTGGTATTTGATGAAGACACATGGTCGCATGTTGTGAATACCTCAGAATCTCCAGAGACTCAGAGAACCACAACTGAACTCACTATAACCAAGCTAGCAAAGTCCAAAGACACGGAGAGAAGCCTGGAAATAGCAAAAGGCAACTCTTTACTCCATAAGATTGAGTAAGACTGTTCTTTAGACACCTTGTAGGTTACGGGGAGCGGGGTGATATGTTTAAAGTTCTAAATGGAGGAAAACCCGTCAACCCAGGATATATCCTGCAAAACTAACCTTTAAAATTGAAGGCCAAGGTAAGATACTTCCAAATAAATAAGAGTTAGTGTTCAAAGCAGTAAGGCATGGGGACCCTACACTGAAATGAGAACATACTAGAGACTAACTAAAGCCATACAAAGAAGTGAAGATCCCTTTTAAAAAATTAAACATATCATTTTAAAAGAATTATGTTTTTAGTCTGTTATTTCTCTTTTGGTTTCTCAGATGGTATAAAAGGTATTAAACAAGTAAATGGTCAAATGCAATGTCAACAGATTAAATAACAAGGGAGTG